ATAGAGTTCAGAAAGGAAAGTGCCTGAAGATGAGGAATGGGTGTCTATGGGAGATCTGGCAACACAGGTTTGAGTTGTGCCTTCAATATTTAGCTGTGACTAATGTTTTGATAATATCATAATCATTTTGCATGATTTCATATTTAAATCCTTTACACAATAAAACAGGATTATAAACATATTTCTAGGATTGTTTAGGATTGTTTCCTGCAAATGCCTTAGATTATTCTAAATTGCAAATTGTTTAGGATTGTTTTCCTAAACCAAGGAGGAAAATGGAAGCAGATCGAGCAAATTTGTTTTCTAAATTACAAGGACCACGTACACATTATTTCAAGTGATAATGTGTTTTGCATGTCTCTATTGCAGATTAAATCAGCCTTTGTGGTGACTTTAGCAAATTTATCATATTCTTAATTGCAAGGAACAAAAGCAGGACAAAAAAAAAAAAATTGTGGGTATGAATCAAGGAAAATAGGAAAACCAGGATGTCCTGGTGTTAAAAATGTCACAATGTCTAATAATAGCCACATGATGAATTTGATGATGATAGAACCCACGCTATGCCCTACATATTTAATGGTTGAGATTGGACGTCCTGACATTTTTAATGTGAGGATGTCCTTATTTCCCTTTTTCTCATAAATCAAAAGGTTTCCAATGATCAATGAATATATAGATTTTTTTGCCAGACAGGAAAAATTAGTTTTTGATTAAAATGGTCTTCTGAACTTTGATTCTCTGAAGGTTTCCTTTCTGTTATTTGTCTAGGTGTTTGTTAATATATCTCTTTTCTCTCTGATTTTCAGGCTTTAATTCATTAAAATTTTCACTGTGAAGGGAGGGAAGAATGGAAACAAATGAATTGAAGGTCCCAGGTGAGTGAAAATAGTATCCAAGTATTATTATTTTTCCTCTATGAAAAGATTGTAAAAAATGGGGAAGGAGATTGTGCTCTCTTTTTTTGGAATAGGAGGTTCACTTTGATAATGTTTATAATTTTTTCTGATGAAGATTCTACCAATTCTTTTCCTGGAAATTGGCTGAGTTCTCAGGAAGTGGGTAACTTTTTTCCTTGAGTATATGGATGAAACTCTAATGTGGAAACTTCAGTACGTGTACATGCATTTTTAAAATTGCAGATATTGAATTGGATGGAGTGGTAAAGAAAGCGTGACACAGAAAATAGTGTGACAAGAAGAGAAACCACTAATGGAGGAAGTGAAAAATAATTAGATGCTATTTTAGTTTTTAGGGGTGACAGTTGAATATCCTTGGAAATGAAATTTATGCAGTATAGATTGTGAGTTCAAAGCATGAAGAGGGACCATTCCAAAGTTGGTATCCATGTGATTTTTTCTGTAACATAGAGATGTTCTCTTGAGTATTCATGAATTCAATATTATAATTGATTTCTAAGTATATAGTGAATGAGTGTTTATTAGATATTGTTGTAAATTAATCTTTTAAATATATATATGCATAAACTTTATTTTTTCCAAAGCTTCCTGTGGTGTTGTACCTTTCTTGGTAAATTATTGATACTTTGTAGGAAGATACAGGCAATTAATAAAATTAAAATGAATGTTCTTAAATAATAATATAACTGTTAAATAATGCACGAAGAAATACCATGGGATTAGTCATGAGATGTGGTAAAGAAAGATACAACAGGATGGCAACAGTCATGATGTCAGGTAAGAGCAGAGAGTGAGTATTTTAAGTGGGTTGTAATCAGGTCGAGAGACAGAATAATTTTGAGAAAGAGGGTGAGATGGAGAGATAATATAGGGAGAGACAGGGAAGAGAGTCAGAGGGGAAGAGAGAGGGGAGGAGATTGAACTTGAACATGCTCTTTAAGTATTGTATGCAGTTAGATTCCATTGGCCTTAAAAGGGAATTAGATTCCTCGTTGCATCTTGCTTCAAAGTGAAATGTAAATCATTGTCATGTGACATCTTTCTTCAGGTATGCTGCCACATTATTTCTTCTTCCACCTACACTCGTCATGTCTGCTATTTGTAATTCACCACAGGTATGGCAGACTATACTTTCTTACTGGAGTAATAACAATTCCATATTTATCTGTACCTGGGATTTCTAAACCTATATATGTGACCTTTGTAATATTCCTCTATGTATTGCCTTGGGTAATATTGTTGTGTTTCTACGGCAAGGCTTTACATAAGATAATGACAGAATAAAAGTATAATGAAAAAGTGCTATGCAGTCCTAGATTGCACTACTTAAACAATTGAATGGGAGCTGGGCCCCTTGATATGTAGACTGTTCTCCATTTAATAGTTTCTGTTTTGCAGTCTTGTGCATTTCAGATAAAAAAACAGGATATTCAGAGTATAATAAAAGAGAAGGTGCTTTGTAATCCTGTAAGCTGCAATTATCCTTCTTAGCAATGAATTTACTGCGTTGCAAATATGATTATGCGTAAGTGATTTGTCTGTTATGGTATCTGCATGCAACCAATTTAAAACTTCGATTTATTTATTTTGATGCATTTGGATTCATTATTTTTTGCTTGGTCAGATTTATAAAAAAAAAAATGCTATTTGTATTATGAATCAATTGGTTTGTGGATGTTTCATCTCTATCATCTTTTACCTCTCCAATTTCCATGACATTTTTACACCAAGTCATGGTGTAACTTCTACTACTTCCATGTAATTACAATGGTGATTAAACATCTCATAATGTCATACATTTAGATGGTGATTTTTTTTTGTTTAATAGATGATTAACTCTTGTATTGTAACTCTTGTAACTTTTACCACTCTATTACCCTGTACACAGAGCTTGTTATTGTATGGGAAAGAGATGGAAGAATGAAGAAGAATAACAAACTCTTTATGGTTTCTTTGCCTCCTTTTTGTTTTTCTATTTCACATTCTTCTAATTGTTTCTTTCTTTATTTTACAACAATTTAGTCTTTTATTTTTCATTTGTTGAGCAGAGGCTGAAATGTATTTTTTATTTCTTTTCTTTTGGGATAGGAAAAAAAATTGTTTCAAATTCATCAATGATTCATTTAATCTCTAAACATAAAATTCTATAATAAGGAATGATCCAGCTACTTTTTTTTTATATTTAATTCATGGACATAATAGTGTCACAATGATATAAAAGGGGTTTTTAACCTATATACTCCAATGAGATATGTTAAATGTGCGTTTATTAGCCTTCGGTATTAAATTTTATAGAAAAATATGGAAACTAACATTAATTTAAGTATCGTTGTTACTTGGATGAATTTAGTTAGATAATTATTAAAATAAATATAAGCTTTTATTTTTCTTAATGTTAGTTGATATAGGGAGTATGGTAAATACACTTTAGTTAGAAAAACCCTAACCAAACATACTATAATGTAAAAAACTCACCTCTTCCCCCCTCCCCCCCCTCCTCTCACTCCCTTCAAACCAAACATGATATATTATAAAAGTCCATGTGAGCAGTGTTTTAAATCTCAACCTAGTAATTTACATGTTTTAAGCACTTTACATGTTTTAAGTATTTGATTTGCTAACATATGTATTTTTTATTTTAATATTAAATTGTCTCTTTTTTAGTACAAGTAAAACATTTATCTAAATAGTTTAGGTACCTACAGAAATTAGGTACACTTATACCCAATGCTAATGCTCACTTGATTACTTTGGTTTAAGCTTGCACAAAAAAGAAAGGACCAAATACTATAATTATAATACTACATATGATTGTAAATTTATAATTATAATATGACATCAAATAAATATAATATAATATTAAATGAGTAGATATATAAAATATCATTAATAAATTTTCAAATAAAAAAATAATTATATAACACATACATACATTATGTTGCAACTAATAAGGCTTGAAAATAAGAGATAAAACCGGCCCTAAAATGGTTTCTGAAATAAAACGAGCATGTTCTACAGTCCACCTGTCTCATACATTGGGATTGGATCAGTCAATAGACTTCGGGGGAATGAAAAACACTTTATTTTTTAAGGCGTTGGTAGACAAGAAATGTGGGCCGGAATAATATAAAAATAAAATAATAGGTCCAAAACTAAGCTGTATGTTATGGTACTCATGTTTAACATCGAAGTCATGCAGTACCCAACATATTTTTTTATATTAAATAATATGTTATATAATGAAAAATAATTTTTATTTTTAATACCTTTTTACTTTTTTTAAAGATTCAAATTTAAAATTTCAAATTTAAAATATCAAATTATTAATCAATTGAGACTCTTTAAAAGAGTATGAACATATTTTTTTATGCTTAGCCAATCTCCCATACTTATTTTTTAATTTTTAATTTTGGATTGTAAATCATAAAATAAATTAAACATTATGTGATTAACTCTACCATAGAACAAATATTTTAACTTTTTAAACACTAGACGATTTTTTTGTTTCTTTAAAGGAAAAAAAAGTCTGGTATAAAATTTCTAAGCATCCGCAGCCATGGCTGTATTAGTAAAGTGCATCTTAGCTATGGACACCACCATGGTTTAATTCTTTATGGTGTTATGTCCCTTCTCTTAATTTCTCAATATTAAAAAAAAAAAAAAAATCCTCTACCATAGAACAAGGGTTGACTGTTCATCCCCTCTAATGAATAAAAAGCACATCAGTACATAAACTTTGTATTTATTTTATTTTTATTTTTTGTATTTTTACCTTTGATAATAAGTTATATAATAAAAGATAATCCTCATTTTCCCTCAATCTTTTTTTATCCATTTTAATATTTGAATTTAAAATCTTTAATTTGAAGTTTCAAACTTTTAATTATTTGAAACACTCTTTTTGAATGCAAGACATAACATGTGTGAAAATTCTAATTAAGCCCTTTACATAAAACACTAAAACTCAGCTGGGACAAATCAAGTTCAACATACGGTTTTAATCACGAAGGAAAAAAGAAAAGAAAAAAACATAACATAACGGAAACCTTGCAGCTGCTTCCTTTTCCTTTGATTTGGTAGTCCTTCAGCCGAAGTTACAAGCCAGTTGCCACAGTTACAAGCCACTTTGGTTTTCCTGTTCTAAGGACAAGATAACCCATGAACAATCCAAATGCCAGTCCACACCCATAGCCCAACAATACAACTTTCCAGCCAAACTCCCATAGCTCATCTTTTTCCTGAAAAGTGCTTTGTGATTTTGGTTGCATCCTAACTTCGCTGCAAGCTTTTGACAAAGGTAATCCACATAGCCCCAAGTTCCCCTCATATGAACTTTTGTCAAATGTGTTGAATTGTTTGCCTTGAGGTATGGGTCCATCCAACAGATTATTGGAAAGGTTTAAAACTGAAAGCCATTTTAGATTTACCAATTCTCTTGGAATCTCCCCTGCCAAGTGGTTTGAAGAAAGGTCTAACCATTCAAGGTTGGTCAAATTTCCCATTGCTTGTGGAATATGACCACTGAGCTTGTTATGAGAAAGATTAAGTCCTATAAGAGAACAAAGCCTTCCGATGACATCTGGAATCTCTCCATCAAACTTGTTATTTGAGAGATCAATGCTCGTGAGTATGGTTAAAATTTTAGTCCGTTCTCTCTCAAAACCCTTTTCCACCAAACTAACAGAATACTGATAAAAGATACCAGAAACTAAGTATCCTCCCATGTACTGCTCATGAATTTCACCTTCCTTGAATGTCATCATGGCCTTCAAATTTTTGATGCATCCCGTTGGAATTGGACCAGAAAAATGATTGTTGGAGACATCAAAAATTTGCAACTTGGGGAAAAAATGGCTAGTTTTGGAATCTCTTAGAAAGCCATAGAGTTTATTTGTCCTTAAAACAAGAACTTGCAGATGTGGAAGAGTTCCCAGCCAATGAGGAAATCTACCATACAAGTTATTGTTCCCAAGTTCTAGCACTTGCAGGTCTTTGCAGTTGACAATTGCTCGTGGTATCAAACCCTCGAGTTGATTAGCATTCAAGTTAAGATTCTTCAAAGTACAACCATTTGCAAATGTTGTAGGGATCATTCCTCTTAACTTGTTCATCCTTAGATTCAACACTTCAAGACTGCTCAAGTTCCCGAGGCATGGTGGAGTGACTCCACTCAAGTTGTTGTGAGATAAGTCAAGAACTACAAGTTGACTTAAACTGCAAATCAAAGAAGGAATCTCTCCCATTAAACTATTATTTGAGACTGAATAAAAATGGATATTGGAAGGTGGAACTGGAAGAGGCCCTTTAATCAAGTTAAAGTTGAGGTCAAGAATCTCTAGGCTTTTCCAAGGAAGCTGCTTTACATACACTAGAAGGTTATGAGAGAGATTCAAGTAATTCAATGAGTTCTTTCCAACATCCCACATCCACTCGGGAATGTCTTGAATCTTATTGTTAGAAAGGTCTAATGCTTTCAGACCTTCTAAGCCTCTCAGAAACTTAGGAATTTGGGAGGTGTTGCACGAAGATAGAATCAAGTTTGTAAGACAAGGCAAGGTGTATGTGATATTGATGGTGGAGATAAATGACAAATCAATGTTTTGTGAAAGATCAAGAACTTGAAGATTTTTGAGCTTAGAAAACATGTCTAAGTCAAAAATTCCATTCAAATTGTTTGATGACAAATCAAGTAAAGTGAGATTTAAGAGGTGAGATATTGAGCTTGGAATTGGACCTTTAAGCCTATTATTTGCCAAGGATATGGATTGCAATGATCCATATTGAAATTCATTCAGTTGACCAGTGAGTTGATTATTTCTAAAGCTCAGCGACTCTAGTGTTGATATGTTCAACACCCAAAAAGGTATGGATCCCATGAGAAAGTTATTGGACAAGTCTATTGCTCTTAGATCTAAAAGAGAAGTTGCTTGATCAGGAATGGGACCAACCAAGTGATTGTTATACAAATACAAAAACACAAGCTGTGTTAGGTTAGTGAATGAGGATGGGATTTGACTAGTGAGTTGGTTATAGGAAAGATCTAGCAACTCTAATGATGGTATGTTGAACACCCAAGAAGGTATGGATCCTTCAAGAAAGTTCTGAGACAAGTCTATCTCTCTTAGATCCATAAAAAAAGTTGCTTGATCAGGAATGGGACCAACTAAATGATTATCTTGAAGATACAAAAACTGAAGTTGTGTCAGATTTGTGAATGAGAATGGGATCTGACCAATGATATGGTTGCGCGAGAGGTCCAAAAAAATAAGTTGTGTCAAGTTCCCCAATGCTCTTGGAAGTGATCCTGAACATAGACATGCTTCCATGCTCAGATGCCTCAGGGATGCTAAATTTACAAAAGAGTTAGAAAATTCCTCATAAAAAGATGTCTCTGATAGATCCAAATACTCAAGAGGTCCACTCCAGTTTGACTTTGGAAGTTTAGGAATGAGGTAGAAATTTCCACCCAAATTAAGCCAAACAAGATTTGGAAGTTGGAAAATGTTTTCTGAAAAATTTCCTTTCAGATTACAGTTTCCAAGACTTAGATGTGTCAAAGAAAATGGTAGATTCATGAAAGAGGAAGGATCAACATAATACATGTCTATTCCATCAAGGAAAAGTTGTCTTACCTCTGTTAGGTTCTGAACAAGTCCTTTCAATGTATGAGTTTTAAGCAAGACCAAATAAGAGGAGAGATCAAGTGAAAGTAATTTGTTCAAGTGGGAGATTTCAGATGGAACTTGCCCGGAAAACCCTGAATTGGAGAGGTTAAGATACACTAAACTTGCAAATTGGCCAAACCTTGGTGAAAGCTTAGAGCCTTGAAAGTCATTATAGGCTAGGTTAAGCCTTTGCAAGTTTGAAAGGGTGAAGAGGCTGCTATTGGAAAGGAAGGTGCCAGAAAGCCAGCTGCAATTGAGATCAAGGCCGATCACATGGCCAGTAACATTGTCACATGTTACCCCATCCCAAGAGCAACAGTCCGTACCCTCATTCCATGACTCTGTCTTTGGATAAGATTCAACACGGAATGCATCACATAGGATAGAAACATATTCATGATCAATGGAAAAGGCGTTTTTGAAATGAAGAAGAGCAGCCCTATCCTTTGGAAAGCAGGTTCTTTTAGTTCGACGAGTAAATAAAGCAGAGGAAAGAGTAGTTTGAAAATTGAGGATGAACAAAAAGAGGCAAAGAAGTTGGAGAATTCGTAAACAGCTCATCTTTGGAAGATAATGCGATTTAGGGGTGAGGAGAAGGCATGTCATTCCAGGTTTATTTATAGATAACATGGAAAGAAAGCTAGAAGCATAACCAACTCTTTTCCAAAATGTATAAACATTGTTCAATTAGTGATAAAGCAATTTAATTTAATTATGGGTAATTAATGATATGCAGATAATTTTTTTTTTGTAAAACTTTTCTTTGCAACTTTCACCTATCATTAAACGAATCATCATTAAATGAGTGAAGAGATACAATATCATAAGTCCTAATACAATGAAAAAAGTAAATAATTAAATGATATGTAAAATTGTATAAAAAATTATATAAAAGGACAGTGATTGATATACTATCTACTTTAACACACTTATTAAAAAATTTTTATGTTCAATTTAAAATCAAGGTGAAAAAATTTTTAATTATAAATTTTAATGGCTAAAACTAGTAGGTATTAGTGAGTATATTGAATTGAAAGGTTTATCAATCATTTTCCTATATAAAAACATTGTCCCTTGATATATATATATATGTGTGTGTATTTTTTTTTCTAATTAGGAAGACTTGACTAATCAAGCCTTAAAATTAAATTAATGTCGCTGCTACCTATCTACCACCATACAAGATTTCATATATGTCATTCTTTTGGTGTAAAATACTGCACAACTAACTAAAATTTGATTGAATTGATATTTATTAATTTAAAATTTTTAATTTAGATTAATGACTAAAGATTCAAACTTTTGTGATGACTCTCTGCTTTGAAATTTATAGTACTAGACAACATTTTCCTAAGAAAAGAGGGTCCGACCAATTCAGTGCCATTCTTTTCATTGCGGGTGTCGTTTTTGTTCAAAGTAAATTTTTTACAGAATGGAGGAAAGATCCCAGTCTTCTGTGGGATTAATTATATTTTAACAGAACAATTTGCAAATATATGTTTGCACCGTAGGATCATGGTGAGACCTAATTTAACTCCGTAACGAATTATTTTTTCATCCATTAATAAGAAAATGAAAGCACATGTGTGTTTGGTCATTGCCTTTCTCAGAGATAGCTGGCCCTAGAAAAGTCAATTACGAATTATTTTTTCACCCTTTAATTTAACACGATAATTATAATCTTCATGTCATAAAAAAATCCAAAGAAAAAATGTTCAACATCATATTACTACTTTCTAGAAGAAATATATTTTCACCGTATGCCTTCCTCTATCTCCCAATTTCTACTCTTCTGCAACTTTTAATTTCAATTCTTATTGCCAGTTTTTGTAAAGTTAATTTTTTGGATAGTGATTGGTACACTTTATATTTCAACACCCAGTTCAACATCTTTCGGTTTAGTCATTAAAAAATTATTATATTTTTGTCTGAAATTAAAAACAGACGAATATAATGATACAATCATGCACACATAATACAAAAATCAACTGAATTAACTATATTTATATAATATTTTTAATAATTAAACTAAAAGATATTGAACCGAAAGATATACCAAACATTTCCCTAAATTTTTACTGAAAATTGAAGAAATGCCCAAGTCATATGCCGTGATAATTGGACAGATATAACACCACATTTTCAAAAAAAAAAGGAAAAACCTCTCGCAATGCAAGGTAAACAGAAAATTATATTGGTAGTCTAGGATGATATAAAATTAAAAAATTAGTAAATTAATATGTAATTACATAGTTTTTTTTTATTGTTATTACAATGCTGATTTTAAATTTTTATTAATTTGTTGGGTTCGATTTTCTAATCTTAAGAAGAAAAGAAAAACCTTGATCAACTATGATCTGTAACTTTGGTTATGTATTCTCAATGAAGTTCATGTTGTTAATTAATTTTTTAAACTCACTTTCAGATTCAAGGTGTAAGATTCCTAGCTTTTTGTTTATGGGTTAGAGAATGGAACTAGGCCTCATTAATTTCCGTGAAATTTTGAAACCATTAAGAATTGAAAATTCCTGCATTATATATAATTAATATTGCTTTAAATGTTAATTTTTAAATTTTACTCTAATAAAATTTTAAATTTATAAGAAAAGAATTTATTTTTAAAATAGATGCTATTTAATTTCTGTTAAATACCTTCATAATCAAATCAAGCCAATCCCGTGCAACTGATCAAAGCAATGTTGATGGAATAAGCCTAACAAGTTCAGATTCTTAAGGATCACCAAAAGTTATGGAATACAAACCTGATTTTGCACAAAAGACAGTGGACCAAAAGCTATGAGAAAATTGTTACATTGCATGTGAATCATGCTGTCTACTTTCAAAACTTTGGAAACTTTTTCCGACAGTAAAAAGTTTTATCTCATTTTCAGACTGAGGGGACAACATTTCTTGCCTTTCGTTTGTGGGGTAGAGAATGCAACTACTCAGTCTAGTAGCATTGGTTATTGACTACCAAGTCTTCCCAAATTAAAGACATATTTAAAATGGTACTATCAATGGCAAAGAAAAATGCAATTTATTCATCAATAGAAATGGTTGGTATAATTTTTAGTTAAAAACACTTGTTTATGCATTTATTAAAACACTATCATTTTCAAAACTTAATTGAAGGCACGTGCTTCAGTCAACAAACATTTTCCGGATGTTCACACCAGCGGATCCATCACGAAGTGGACCCCTGAGTACAAATAATTTAGCAACGAAGGAGTTACAGTTTTCTTCCCCTTTGCTCCTTGGTTCTAGTGTGGTGGTTTCGTGGAGCAGGGCCTAGGCGGGTCCAGCAAAAGTTGGTTTATGGATAAAAATTATGAAAATGATTATTATATCTTTCAGTTTAACACAGCTTTCAACATTTATTAGTTCATTTATAAAATATGTAGTTAAAAGTTCTTCACTTTAAATTTAAATTTGAAAATAATATTTTCTTAAGAAATGATACATACATCCTCTAAAATTACAAACTTCATTACACAGTGACGGTTTTCGTTAGTGTGTCGTTAAAATTGATGATTTCTGTTACTTGTGTCGTTAAAATTAACGATTTTCATTATTTCAACCATTTAAACTAATGGTTTTCATCAATTTTAACGGCACACTAATAGAAACCGTCAGTATATAGTAGAATGTGTAACTTTTGGAGGGTGTATGTATAAGTGTCCTAATTTCTTAATGAATGTATTGTGTAATGTGTTAAACTGGAAGGTGTATCAATTATTTCTTAAAAATTATTACACATATTTTTATTATATTTATCACTCTAGAGATTATTATATATAGAAGATAGTGTAGAGCAAGTTGTCTTTTTAATATTTTTTGTAGTTTATGAAGTGATTATGCTTATTAAATTAACATAAAAATTTATATATATGATCTATATAAATAAAATTTTTAATTCAATTGTTGGATTTTAAAAATATGAATTATAAGATAAGATTTTAGATAATCCTCCAAAAGGAATTTAAGAAGATAACTGCAAAACACTTTTCCAATTATATATAATAATCAAGAAAATATATGTTCTTACTTTTTGTGCTTATAGATCATATATATTTTTTATTCCAATTCTCTCTCACACTTTATCTACATTACATGTTCTAAGTCACACTTTATCTTGTCACCCACTCCATCTTCGTCACTCATTATAATGTTTTTCTAACACGTGTCCTCATAACATAGAATAAAGGTATATTTATTATATTTTTTATATCATTAATATATATAATAAAATTAAAAGTTAACATTAATTTTATCAATTATTCAATAAAAAATATTCATATGTTATAAATATTAAAATTAATGTTAACTTTTTTATTTTAATATGTAAATTAATACATAAAAATTACATTTACAATTTTCTTAACTTGTACCTTAAGGGCCATGAGATAAACTCCTTATTATATATCTTTTTACTCAATTTCTCTTTTTCTATTTATCATTAAATATTTTTTGTTTCTTAGTATTACAATAACATATAAGGAAAATGATTTGAACATCCTCCAATTCAATACACAGGTCAACATAAAATTGGTTCAACCATTACAATATAACATAGGAGCAATTAGTTCAATAAATTTTTTCATGTTGCATGCATGACTGCATTTTTAAGTTTTTTCTCTTTTAATTTTAAATAAAAAAATAATGATAATTTGATGAACGTGTTATGAAATGTGTTAAACTAAAGGGTGTATATATTAATATTTTAATATATAAATATCTTAAAATCACAAATAATTTAGTAATATATTAAATAAATTTATATACATATGCAAAATATTATAAAATTTTACAATGTAAGGTAAAAAGTCTATATTGTTTCTCTCCTTTAACCTTTTTATATTAGTAATTTGTTTTTTTATTAGGATAATGATTGATACACCTTTTGATTTAATACACTTAGCAATATCCACTGATTCAGTTATTAAAAAATTAATATTTTCATATTTAAATTCAAGACGAAAAAATTTTCAAAGGTAAATTTTAATGATTGAATTGATGTGTGTTGTTAGGTGTATTAAATTGAATGATCTACCACTCATTTTCCTTTTTGTTATTCTTTCTCTCATTATCCCTTCATCTCGATTATTTTTTCTTAGTCATTTCTTGAAATCTTTATCCATAAAAAAAGTATATGTTTTTTACACCAATTTTTTTCTCTTGATACTCTATCACTTACTTATACTTCACTTGCCATTAATTTTCTTAAGATTCCATCTCTTAGCTTATCTTCTCACATTTTATCATTATATTTATTTATTTATTCTACATTCACCCTCATTTTCTATTTAAATTTAATAATTTGTTTGTTATTATTCTTTCTCTCTTTATTCTTATTTTCTCAATATTATTATTTCTTAGTCACTATTTGGATATCTATTTATTATTATATAGCATTTTCACGTCTTTTTTCTTTCTCTGTCCTATTATGTGTATATTAGAATTGTTTAAACTTTGGTTTAATGGGTATATTGAAAACTTATAAGGGCTTTTACTTTACCCTTTTTTTTTTTGTAATTTTTTAATAGTATAGATTTTTGATAAAGAGAATATCAAAACATTTTTACATTTCTTACAGAAGCTCTTTATTTTTAGTTCCTTGTAAGTGCTTTATTATGAAGAATACATTATGACCAATTACTTGTTGATTTCAATGAAAGGAACTTAGTTCCCTTAAGTAAAGTTTTAAGTTTGAATGGAGGGACAAGCATTGGAGCACTTATGCCTTATGGAGTCCAACCTATTTCAACTCTAAATTAGTTGGGGCATAGCAATTTGACTTTTGGATACCTGAGGGTTTAGTACAAAAAAAAAAAAAAAGTAAAAAGGAAAGTAAGATGGTAAGATAATAAGATAAGATAGTATTTATTGAAGATTTTAAAAGGTGCATTAGATATTGATTCAAAATTTGTGAAGAATTAAACAATTTTTATAATAGAGTGAGATAACAAGATTTTTAGTGGTTGAGTCGTTCAACTATACTTTTTTGGTGGATG